ATTCTTCAGATCCACATCTCTTGCTGAGTGTTTTATTGTTGTTTTGAAGGGGTGCTGGGTAGGGAGTTTGTTAAATGTTTGGTTTGTGTGCTGAAGAATGCACCTTAGCTGCATCTTTTGATTATAAAGATCTGTTTATATTCCAGTTAATCTGTGTGTGAAAACACCCTAGATTCATTCACTTGAATCCCTCCCCCAGCTCTGTAGTTTTGCCATGGATAAGTAATTTAATGACTACCAAATAATGTATAGAGCGCAGTATCAAAGCTTTTTAGGATTACTATGATAAGAAGCTTGCCAACATTTCCATTAAAAACATCTCTTTCAAGACTTTTTAATTACGTAGTAAAATTTCCCTTCAGATTGAAACATGACCTTTCAGGCTTATTTAAGAACTAATGGGGGTAATATTAAACTCAGCAGCTCTCTCCTGAGTTTTACATTATGAAACTCACTTGGGTCTCCTAGAAAATGAAAAATGTTACTCTTCAGTCTGGCTTTATGTGTTCCTTTTATCTTAGTAATCCTAATTGTGGATTATGTGACCTGGGGCCGACCCAGAGCTGGAATGAAAGTACTGAGCAGGTCATAATTTGACTGTTGATTGAAAACATTTTTCTTCTTAAACTTTAAAAAAAATCCATACGTTTTCATTGGGATTTATCTACATTGCGTAGATAAACTCAGCCACCTTACTATGTTTATGGTACTTTCATGTTAAGCTTAGTATTAAAATATAAAGAAAGAGTCATCACTTTTGGCAAAGCTGAATTTCTTTTTACACCTTTAAAAAAATCTTCATTTATGTAGCAAGCATCTAATCTTGAATATGAATATATTATTCATGTTATCTTTTAAAGTATTTCTTTGGAATCCGTCAGTACAACGTTTGGGGGTTTCAGCAGATGATTTATTTTAGAATAAAAACTCCAGAGCAACAGTATCTCTGCATTCTCATTCCAGAAAGTGAGACTGTGGGGTATATGTGATTTCCTTAATAATTCATGAAAAAGGAACATGGCTGCTATAGCAGCATCTCCTGAATTACATGTAGTAAAACTAGGAATCCTTAGCAATCAGAGTCATCCTAAATCTTTACCTCTGAAATGCAGCATGCCTGGTGTGGTTGAAAGAGCCCAGGACTCAAGACCTGGGTTTGCCAGACCCACCCTCCAGCATTTGCTATGGAACTATGTGATCAAGTCACTTTACCTCATCTGTAAAATGGGGATGATACTTTCAGTACCTATTTCAAAGGGTTATTGTGAGGAAATCACTTGGTAAATCTAAAAGCTCTATATGAATGTGAGTTTTCACCAGCAATAGCCCTTGTGCTACTTAATCATGATGTTTAGAGCCAAGGTAGGGAGGACTGCTTTTAGCCTGAGGCAATGGACTTGTAGTGAGTGGGCTCTCCTAGGATAAAATGATAGAGTTCTCCCCTTGACATGGAGTCCATCTACTATTGAAGACTTTGCCAAGGCTGATTTAGGAGCAGAAGCCAAGATTTCCCAATTTATGAGTGTGTTTAGAGGGCTTTTTCATTTTATTATTTATTTGTTTGTTTGTTTCTGGCTAGTCAGTGGGGTTAAGTGACTTGCCCAGGGTCACACAGCAGTAAGTGTCTGAGGCCAGATTTGAACTCGAGTCCTCCTGACTCCAAGGTTGGTGCTCTATCCACTGCGACACCTAACTGCCCCGACTTTATTATCTTGATTTGATTTTCTTTTCCTTTATTTTGATATTGTTGTTGTTCAGTCCAATTGAAACCCCTTTTGGGGATTTGAATTAGTTTTCTAAAAATTCATAATACAATAACCATTATGAGGCATTTTGTATAACTGACTTTAAATTTCCATAATTTGATTACCACAAGTATGAAATAATATTTATGTTAATGAAGCTCCATACACTTAACTTTTGTTAATTGTCATAGCAAATATTTTCATTAAGCACATTTCAGAAAAGAGCATTGACCTTTTGTCCTGGTAGCAAACCTGGTATGAAATTCCATTTTTGACACTTGATAAATTGTATAAAGTTCTGCTTTCTCATCTATTTTTTCATTTCATATGGGATGAAAACATCTCTTATGTTTTCTTATCTGTAAAATGGGTATGTTAGAATAATGATAATCACTGGGGCAGCTGGATGGAGCAGTGGATAGAGCTTTGGCCTTGGTGTCAGGAGGACCTGAGTTCAAATATGACCTCAGACACTTGATACTTACTAGCTATGTGGCCCTGTGCGAGTCACTTAACCCTGATTGCCTCACCAAAAAAAGATAATCTCTCTCTCTCTCTCTCTCTCTCTCTCTCTCTCTCTCTCTCTCTCTCTCTCTCTCTCTCTCTCTCTCTCTCTCTCTCTCTTCTCTCTCTCTCTCTCTCTCTGTCTCTGTCTGTCTCTCTGTGCCAGGCACTGTCGTTAATACTTTATAATTAGGACCTCATTTGATCCTTGCAACACCCCTGAAAAGTGGGTGCTGTGATGAGCCCCATTTTACAAATGGGGAAACTGAAGCAATCAGAGGTTGACTGTTGACCAGGGTCACATGACCAGTAAGTATAAGTGAAGCTGGATTTGAACGCAGGTCTTCCTGACTCCAGCCAGGCCCAGTGCTCCATTCACTGTGCCTCCTGGCTGCCCCCACTAGAATCATAGAATTTTGGAGTTGGAAAAACCTTTATGGATCATCAGCTGTGCAAGGGTGAGATTATTCGTATGGAAAGGCAGTAATAACATTTGTCAGGCCCGTCAGCTTGAGAACAATAAGAAAGAAATGGTAACTAGAGAGTGTATATGTTTTGGGGAAACGCACCCATCCCAGTAAAGAATGAACACATTGAAAACGACCTCTGGACTAAACACTGGGCTGGGTCAGACCAGTGATCCATCCCAGCCCCAGCCAGGGCTTTCTGGAAACCAGATGGTTTCTAGAAGGGCGCCGCTGCCTCCATGACGCCGTGATGGTTGCACTTCCTCCTACTTTAGAGCAGGAAGGATCCGTATAGACTGATTAAGATAGCGTAGTGGAAACTAGGATTTCTGGGACTTTCCAGTTCATTGCAATCTTGACTATACCACAACCCCAAAAAGGTTTGAGTCTCTGATAGCCCTGACGTGACTTTGTCATTCTGTGTATTCATTTTGTACCGCTTTATATAATTATACTACAGATCTATGTCAATAATAGCGATAATAGCTTGCATTTTTATAACTCTTTACAAAGATTGTCTCATTTGATCCTAGCAGCAAATCTGGGAGGTGGGTGGTGTTGTTATTTCTAATTTTACAGATGAGGAAGCCGAGGCAGAGAGCATAAGTGACTTATGGAGGGCCACATAGCCAGTCAGTGTATTCCTGACTCCGGGTTGAATGTTCTTTCTGCTGTACCACCACACTAGCTGCTTGAGTGTAAGCCCCTTGTAGGCAGGAACTGATTTGTTGTGGTTTTATTTTGGTTTTGACTTTCTATGTCTAATGCTTAGTGCAGTACCTGGCACATAGTTTTAATAGAAAAGATTGATCATGGTGCCCTGGGAGTATCTTTGATGGCAAAGCAGCATTTCTTTCTTTCTTTCTTTCTTTCTTTTTTTTTTGGTGAGGCAGTCAGGTTAAGTGATTTGCCCAGGGTCACACAGCTAGTAAGTGTCAGGTGTCTAAGGCTGGATTTGAACTCAGGTCCTCCTGACTTCAGAGCCGGTGCTCTATCCACTGTACCACCTAGCTGCCCCAAAGTAGCATTTCTTGAACCCCCAATAACTAAAGAATAGACTTCCATCCAAAGCTTCATGGAAATTTTGAGCAAATGACATTCCCAGCCACTATTCCTAAAGGCTGAAGTTTAACTACAATGAGAAACACAGTAGTGACCAGAGAAGTCAAGCTGGGGAAGGGCATTTTAGGAATGAGAAGAGTTTCATAGAGTAGAACCTTAGAAGTGGTCTAGGTCACTGTTGTCAAACTCAAGGAGAGATGGGGGACACTAACCCCTGCCTAAGGATCCCTGTGGGCTGCATATTGACTTAGGTTTTTAAAAATTACTTATTTTTATTTACTATTTTATTTTTCCCCAGTTACATGTAAAAAAGCAATTTTTAACATTTGCTTTTAAAACATTAAGTTCCAGATTTTCTCTGTTCCTCCCCGCCATTGAGAAGGCAAGCAATTTGATATAGGTTATACATGTATAATCATGCAAAACATATTTCCATATTAGTCATGTTGTAAAAGAAAACAGAACAAAATAAAAACATAAAGAAAAATAAAGAAAGCAAAAAAAGTATGCTTCAATCTATATTCAGACACCATCAGTTCTTTCTTTGGTGATGGATAGCATTTTTAAGGGTAAGTCCTTCAGCCAAGTCATTCACTTGACTTAGTTTTAAAATGAATTACTGTCTATGTTTTATTATATTTTTATTTATTTTGTTAAATATTTCCCAGTTACATTTTAATTTGATTTAGGCACATTTTTGGCATTTCTTAAATATAGACCAACCCCTTCATTTAAAGATGAGGAATCTGAGACCCAAAGAGGTAAGCAGAGGCAAAGGTGGTTAGAATGATGAAGCTTGCCTCAAGGAAGAGACGTGAAGGGTACCTCTCGCCCGTTTCGTTGCAGAGGTGGGGATTAGGATTATGGAACATGGCACTTTGTGTGTGTGTGTGTGTGTGTGTGTGTGTGTGTGTTTTTGCTAAACTGTTCTGGTGTTTTATTCATTGTTGTAAGGGATGGCTTTCTGGGAGGGGGTAGGGAGAAGGATACTTTGGAAAATGAAGTCATGTAAAAACAAAATATATCAACAAAAATTTATTTTTTTAAGAAGAAAAAAGCCAAGATTCTAGCAGCCCTTTTACTCCCGAACTCATGCCCTCCCTACCATAACATGTTGCAGTATCTCTTTGAAGCAGGAGACTGTAAATACGAATTGTATGATATTCTTATCAGTTTTACTGAGCTGCAAATGTTCTGGTGTAACTTTTGTTTTTCTTTACAGAGGTCTTGTCAGCTGTTATTAGTGTTCTGTTGGTTTACATACTTATGGGATTCCTTTTGTATGAAGCCGTGCAAAGAACCATCCATATGAACTATGAAATTAATGGAGATATAATGCTCATAACCGCAGCCATTGGAGTTGCAGTTAACATAATGTAAGCTCTGTTTACTGTTTCTCTCTGTCCCGTATTTTAAATACCATGTATCTTCAAATTTAGAAATGCACAGTATCTGAATTTTTATTTTTCCAAAATTGCTCACTGCATATTGACTGCTGATCTTTCTTAAAAAATGATCATAAAACCAGTACAGAATCTCAGTTCCTCTCTAGTGTTGATTCAGGCATAAACATGTTTGACTAAAACAAGATAATCAGGAAACTGGCCCTGGAGATGATAGCGAAACTAAGTTTTCCCACTGTAAGTACAGTAAACAGCAGAATCAGAGCAAAAGTGGCAATGTGTGCAAAACCTTAATTTTGATAGATCCCAACTTCTGAAAGCTGTTTTTAACCAGCTGCTATCACTGTGTATTTTTTCAACCTAACATGGAACACCTACGTATTTTTTCTGGCTGGAAATAACCTATGGAAATTTGTAAATCCCAGTGTGCCTAATAATTGGTAGGTTCTTAGATGAGTAGTGAATTTGCCAAATTGTTTGCTGTCACCCTGTGTCCTTCCACTCTTTCTTCTCCTTACATTTCTCCTACATCTGTCTTCTTGCTAACCCTTCCCCTTCTACCTCGCCGTTTTCGTTTGTTCTCTACCTCTCTACCTGTTTTCCTATTTTACCTCTTACTCCTGTATATATCTCACCTGTTGGATGTACTGTGGTGGCCTCATGCCCATCCATATGTGTTGCGGAATGTCTCATCACCATCCTTTTAAGGTGGTGGCCATAACACAGGGGCAGGAGTGACAGTAGATGTCCTCCTCCCCTCTCTCTCCCATCCCTAAATGCAATACGAGGGAGCTGGCTTTGACCCTGGCTCCAGACTACAACCACCCTCAATTCCTGAAGAGCTAGGAGGCAGAAGTAAGAGAGGGTTCAACAGGATTCCTGGCTCTTCTTTCAACCTAGGCTGTCCTCGGAGCCACTGTTTCCATCTGAAGTGGCTCTGAGGAAGCAGAAATTGAAAATAGCAATGCTGGATCCCACACCCAGGCTTTTATTGGTGGGGAATGTGAACCCTACTCTTCCTACCACCACTTCCCAGGGGCGCGAGGAGGCCGTTTCAGGCTCTCCTTTGTGGGTGATGTGTAGAAGGCTGCTATAAGAAAAAGAATTCTTAATTGAAATATGTAAACTCACCTTTGGGGTGGGGGGGAGGGTCCATTGTCTAAAGGTACCATAGGCATTAATGTTAAACGTTGTTTTTTGTGTCCCCTTAACTAGTAACTAGTAACAAAAGTTTGCCTTTTTTTTCTCTTTGGAAAAATAATGACATTTTCTTTTTTTTAAAAAAACAGAATGGGATTTCTGTTGAATCAGTCTGGTCACCATCACTCCCATTCCCACTCCCCTCCGCCAAACTCTCCTACCACAGGTCCTGGGCATGGGCATGGGCATGGCCATAACCAAGGAAGCGATAGCCTTGCAGTGAGGGCGGCATTTGTTCATGCCCTGGGAGACTTGGTGCAAAGTGTCGGGGTGCTGGTAGCTGCCTACATCATTCGATTCAAGGTAACCTGGGGGATTATTTTTACGTTGAGAAATTGCTTGAGTTTTCACATCAGTGTTAAAATATATGCTCTTTTGCCATTGAGTATGAGTATAGCATTAGGAGTTCCGCAAATCTGAATAAACATTTCCCACCCCACAGGAGTACACATCTTTCAGTGCTGCCAGATGAGATTGGAAGATTAGATTTTAATTGTTAAAGGACTTTTGAGCTTAGAACAAGTATGTATATGAACAAGATAATTCACTTGAGAAGGAAAAGCAGTGTGGGTGACTGTGGTACCAAAACCAGTCACGTCTATCAAGTGAGATATGGAACACATAAGACCTGATGCTCACGTTTAATCGTATCACTCCTTGCCCTTCAGTGGTTTCCCCTATTGCTACCATCTGAAACACAAATTCCTTAGCCCAGCATTTAAGATTTTTACGATTCGTTCCAGCTACTTTTTGATCCTTTTTTTCTTAGTGTTGACATATTCTACATAAGGTTTTCTCAAGCAGTGCAATTCCCTAATAATGCTGTCAGTGTATTATTACCAAACCCTCAATGTAAAGTCACTAAACCCTTTTGTTCTGTTGTTTGTCCAGTTGTCCCTTAAAATATTGTTTTTAATGGAATTAACCCTGTAATAGTGTTTTGCCTAACATCATTTTCTAGGAACCAATTAACACTGGCAAGTGGATTATACCCATATTCCACTTCACACACTCTACATCCCAGACATCCTGAGCTACTTGCCAATTTTCCAGTCACCATAGATACTTCCTCTTATACCTCCATGTTTTTGCCCATAAGACAAAGGCTTGGATTTGGTTACTGTCAATTCCTCTGATCTTCAGAAGACAATGAAGAAAATATTACAGAATTTGAGTTGATTTGGGGGAGGGAACATAGGGGGGTTTAGAGCAATGATTTCATTGGAATTGAGAGCTCCCAGTGAAAAATTACTTCTACTGATACAGAATGACCACTATTATTATATTTATTTTATTTTATTGTGCTTCTTTGGTGAGGCAGTTGGGGTTAAGTGACTTGCCCAGAGTCACACAGCTAGTGAGTCAGGTCCTCCTGACTCCAAAGTTGGAACTCTATCCACTGTACCACCTAGCTGTGCTGACAACTGTTCTTTAATTTATAATCTTAGAGAAGTGCTGCAAGCATGGAGTGATAAAGTGAGTTGCTCAAGATCATATGGTATCTATTAAAGACAGCACTTTAATTCAGGGCTGCTCACGTGCTCTCTCTTTCTCTCTGTCTGTCAATATTTAAGTTGGTAAAGGTGAAATAAATGGGGATGTGTGTGTGGCAGTCAGGGTTAAGTGCCTCGCCCAGGGTCGCATAGCTACTAAGTATCTGAGGCTGCATTTGAACTCAGCTCCTCCTGACTCCAGGGCTGATGTTCTATCCACTGCGCCACCTAACTGCCCAGTATGTGGCTTATGTGCTTTCTGATACTATTATAGGAAGCCGACGATAACGAACTTAAATTTCATCAGAGAAGCTTTTAATTTTATCATTATTGTGAGATTCTGAAACACGTTACCAAGGGAAGAACAGATGATCTCCTTATTTGGAGATCTGTCTTGAGTAAATTTTGTTATCACCATGTGAACATCTGATTTTTTTTTTCCTGGAGTAGTTTGAGTGCTGCATTACTTAAGGTATTGGCACTGAGTGACCTTGAATTCCTTTCCATTTTCTGTATTTTTATATTTTCTCCTAGCATTATGTTCATTTACAGAGAAAAGTAAAAAAGTATTTTTTTCTTAAAAAAGGCATCTCTACATTTTTTAATAAACCTTGATGTTCCCTTTCAGCCAGAATACAAGATTGCTGATCCCATCTGTACTTACATATTCTCATTACTTGTGGCTTTTACAACATTTCGAATCATTTGGGACACAGTAGTTATTATATTGGAAGGTAAGGTCAGTGTTAAACTCCCATTTGTATGTGTTGTCATCTGATTCTTACTGGGGCACTTCACAAGCACAGGGACCCTGACATCCTTTCTTTGAGGATGCTTAGGGCATTATAATTTCAAAAGAGATGATTCAGGACCTTTTGGACATCTGGGGAGAAAGGTACTGTACCAATACCAATACGGCCAAATCTTAAGTTACCCACAGTAACCATAGTAACATGGTATCCATAGTTGGAAAGTCTTGGCAAAATCCTCACGTTGTTCCCAAAAACGGTATTTTAGTAAGCATTTTCATTGATCTTTTCTGTCTTTTGTCCCTCACTGTGCGAGAGAAGCCGATATCGGAGAGCCTGTGTTCTAATACTACCCTGTTTATGAAGTCCTCCACTAAAGCCCCATTCTAAAGCCTCATCCTGGCATGGATGTGTTCCCTGAATTTTCAAAGCATGTGACAGCAGGCAAGAGCTCCAACAGGTCCTTCTAACTGAAGAGCTTTCAGTTAAAGGCCCAGTAACAGACTGTCACCTGAGTACCATCATAGCTAAATTTGGAGCAGCTTTTCACCAGGCTTGGCTGTAGGTGATGAACTTACCAGCTGTTGCAGCTCTCCAAAACCTGCTGTAAAGCCAGAGAGGGCAGGCAATATGATACAACAATGTTCAGTTGTTTTTCAATCATCCCCAACTCTCTATGACCCCCGTTTGGGGTTTTCTTGGCAGAGATACTGGAGTGGTTTCCCATTTTCTTTTCCATCTTATTTTACAGAAGAGGAAACTTGAGGCAAACAGGGCTAAATGTTTTTCCCAGAGTCACGCAGCTAGTAAGTGTCTGAGACTAGATTAGGACTGGAGAAGATGAGTCTTTCTGACTTCAGGCCCAGCACTCTCTCCGCTGAGTCACCTAGCTGCCCCTGATACAACAGAGACCACAGGTCTTAAAGACAAATCATCTGACAAACTCCTGGTACCTGTGTGATCTCAGGCAAGTCTGTTAACTTCTGTAGTTCTCAAGTTTCCTCATCTGTAAATCAAGGGATAACTTCAAACTCTAGATCAGATAAGCATACCCTTCTGGGTTGCCATCTGGGTGAGGGAAGCAGTACAAATACCAGTGAAATCTTAGATTATTATTTTGTTGGTCATGGTAACTTCGTTGTAAGAGGCCTAAAAAGGTAACAAGTTAGCCATTTTGAATAATTCCAGTAGATTAATTAATATTATGAAAGATATGACGACATCCATGTTTTAAGTACAGGGTAAATATTGCATCTTTGAATCTGGAAACTTTGCTGAAGGATCTTCACATCATTTCTGAATGAAATAATTGTACATATAACATAAGCCAGAGGAATATAGACAAAGAACCTCTTAGCAAATTTAATTTGCTTCCCCAAGTTTTAAGCATCTATGGCAGGTGCCAAGATATATCCAACCCACTCATAACGCTTCAAGGTTGAAAAGAAATAATGAAAGGCATTTTATTTAGAGATAATTTAGGAACCTCCTCTGGCAAGTAAGGGGGAGAAAGATTATAGAGCTACATTTCTTAAAGTTTAAGCAGAAGACAAAAATCTGAAATTGCCACAGAAGAAGGAAATACATGCAGACCAGAGCTTGGTTGTGGCAGATCAGCTCTGATGTACTAACCCAAAGAAAATGGAAGATGATGGTAAATGATAACTAGCATTTATATAACACTGTAAGATTTGTGAAGTGCTCTGATATCTTATTTCATCCTCACAAGAAGCCTGGGTGGTAGATGCTATTATCCCCATTTTATAGTTCAGGAGACTGCAGCTAAGAAATGTTAAGTGACTTTCCCAGGGTCACACAGCTAAGTAAGTGTCCGAGGCAGGATTTGAACTCAGGTCTTCCTGACTTCCATGTCCAGTACTTTTAGCACGCCACCAGATTCTACAGATTCCCCATTGCCTATTGAAAGTCAGACTTCTCTGGGTGGCATCAAACAACAAGCCCTTAGAAAGTACACAGTATGGGCCAAGACCTGTACTAGGCTTTGGTGAAACATCCTTGCCTTCAAGGAGTTTACATTCTAATTATAGAGACAGCAGACACATTTTGGGGCATATCCAGAACACATGGAAAGTAGGTACAAGGTGACCTTACAAGAGGGACCTCGAGGGGGGACAGGAGGCAGCATGTGCTAGGCATGTCTGACAACCTCCACCACCTTGACCACCATGTCTCTTCAGACCCTGATGATGAGAGACAGCCCGAGAACCCTGCACCAAAGAGCCCTGGAATAGTGACCTTCAAGAAGAGGCGTTTCTGTCTCCTTTGTCGCTATACCCCAGGAATCATGGAGCTTTTCCGTCTGACTTGCAGCTGAAACCTTCCGTACAGGTTGTCTCCCCCTTTAGAATGTGAGCTTCTTGAGGACAGGGACTGACCTTGCTCTTTGTGTTCCTAGCACTTAGCACGGTGCTTTCAATGTCAGTAAGTATTTAAGCTGTTCATTCATTCTGGGAGGCTCTAGCAGCTAGAAGAATGAGCAAAGGCCTCCTGAAAGGGTACATGATTCTCGTTTTTAAGAAAATCAGGGATTCCAAGAAGAGAGGAGGAAGGGAGAACATCTAAGGCATTGGGACAGCCAGTCGCGAAGGCATAACAACGAGAGATTGAGTGTCATGTGAAGAACAGCCAGATAGCTAGTATTGGTTGTGCCGTAGAATGCATGGAAGAGCTTCACATACCCAACAAAGGGGTTTATTTTCAATAAGCTGAGAAGTGATAGTTTGCTGCTGGGTCTTATTAGGTAAGAAGGTTGACATGATCAGGCCTACGCTTTAGAAAAATCATTTTGATAGCTGTGTGGAGGGTAGATTGGAGTTGGGAGGGCAACCTACTGGTTTAGGAAGCTGTTGCAGTAGAACGGGCAAGAAGTGATGAGTACTTAAAGTAGGGCAGTTACTCTGTGAGAAGAGGAAAGACGGAGGATCCAAGAAACATTGTGCAGACAGAAATAGGCAAGATTCGGCAGCTGTGATTGGATCTGTGGGTTTAGTAAAGAGTTAAAGATGACACCAGGCTTGCAAACCTGAGTGACTGGAAGGATTTTGGAGCATTTGATAGCAGTAGAGAAATTCAGAAGGGAAGGAGGGGTTTGGGGAAAAAGGTTTTGGACATGTTGAGTATGAGATGCCAATAGGACATTCCTTTGGGCAGTTGGTAATGTGAGGCCAGAGCTAAGGAGACTCTAGGGCTAGAAGTATAGATAAGGAAGACACGTACATAGAGATGGTCATCATGGGGGCTGATGTGGTCACTAAGATCGAGGCGACAGAGAAAGAAAGTGAGAGGGCCCAGAACAGAGCCTTCAGGTATCCCCAGTTAATGAGCATGACGTGGATAATGATCCTGCAAAGGAGACTTCAGGAGGAACAGTCAGACAGGTAGAAGGAAAACCAAGAGAACAGTGTCATGAAAACCCAGAGTAGGGAGAGAATATTCAAAAGAGGACATTCGGTACTGCCACGTCTGCGGAGAAGTCCAAGAGGATGAGGATTGAGAAAAGGCCTTTGGTTTTGGTAGGTGAGATCATTGGTAATTTTGGAGAAAGCAGTTTTAGCCGAGTGATGGAGTCTGAAGCCATGTTACAGAGGGTTTAGCGAAGAGGACAGGAAGTAGAGGCAGTGAGTGTTGGTGACATTCAAAAATCTTCCATGATCTAATGATACTAATGTAACTTCATCTCATACTGCTCCATATAGCCACAATGAATTAGGGCTACTCCCTGTCCCCACACATCAAGGGTTTTCACTCAAATGTCACCTTCATTAATTTCTTCTCTGCCCCAAGCCCCAATTGGCAATGACCTTTTTCTACTTGATCCTCACATAACACTTCATTTACATCTTTCTCACACACTTAATGTATTGTTTTGTATGATAGTTATTTATGTCATATCTCTCCCTACTAGCCCATAAGACAAACACAAGAGCACAAACTGCGTCTTATCTCAACTTTGTGTGCTTCTAGCACTTAGCAGAATGTCAGGCACACAGGCACTTTATGTTTGAATTATGGTGCGTTAGGTTTAATGGTAAATTGTGTGCTTAAATGTAAGCTTACAGTATAAAACCTAGGACAGTTTTTAAAACATTAGCTTGCCTTGGAGCCTTCTTTGTGATTTGTCCTATTGCTGCTTCTTAGATTTCTTTCAAACCAAGCCTGTCTCTACTAATTTTCTAGCAAACTGTAGTCAGTTATTCCCTCTGTTATTTCGGGGGAGTTTCAAATGCTGCCCATGTTTTATCAGAGTCAGTCACTGTCAATTTTAATCCTTACTTAGTGTCTTTGTATTTTCTTCCCAGTAATCTTTCTTGGTCTTTTAGTAGTTTTCTATGGGCTGGGAACTTTTTATCTGAAGACAGATTTTGTAGTTTCATTGTATTTATTACATCCTTGCTTTACTGCTAGAAAAATAAATTTAAGCATTCTTGTAACTTTTTAGAGTGAGTGTGTGTGTGTGGTGTGTGTGTCTGTGTGTGTGTGATCTAGTGTTGCTAGGGCCATTTTTTTTTCCTCATAAGCTAACGTCTTATAAAACATTCTGAACTTGTAGGAGTGCCAAGTCATTTAAATGTAGATTATATCAAAGAAGCTTTGCTGAAAATAGAAGACGTTCACTCAGTAGAAGATATAAATCTTTGGTCTCTCACTTCAGGAAAAACAGCTGCCATCGTCCACTTACAGCTAGGTAAGTTGCTCCCATGATATGACAGGAGAGGTTTTTGTGATCCTTTATGTCACTATAATTGGAAAGCAGATGAGTCTGTCAACCAGCATTTATTAAGTGCCTACTATGTACTGTGTCCTGTGCTAAGCACTGGGGAGAAAAAGGCAAAAGACAGACCCGACTTTTAAGGAGCTCACGGACTAATGGAGGGGGCAACGCTCAAACAATGACGGACACATTTGAGGAAGTGGAGTTGGGGAGTGAGGCTTCAGGGTGAATCAGTGTTTAGTTTGTAATAGAACGCTTTTGGTGCAGGCCAATGTACCAAGAAATGTTACTGTTTTAAATCTGAAGATGAAAACACATTTTGGATATGTTTGCCCTGATTTTCTGTATCATCAAAGCTGATGTTCTCGGTTTTAGGTTTTCAAATAATGGCTATAGATTGAGACTAGATATAGATTAGAAAAGAAGGGGGAGACCAGTGAGGAAACATGCTGCCCTTCTCCTGACAGTGAGGTAATGAAATCAAGACTGGGACATTTTCAGTTATAACTATTGTTTCTCTTTCTCTCATTCATTCTTTTTTTCTTTTGCTCTTCCCTCTTTCCTTCTTTCCTTTCTTCCTTCTTTCCTTTTCTTTATTTCTTCCTTTTTTTTTGTTTATTCGTATTTGATTGAAGGGTTTGTTTTTCTTTTAATCTCAGAATGGCGTAGTGATAGGGATTACCAAAATGGGGAAGGGGGGGATAAAAAAAAAGAAAGCATCAGGGAAATATGTATTTAAATGCACAGAAGAAGAACAGAAGGAATGTCATTTAGAAACAATCAGGATAGCTTTCAAAGTATTGTTAAAACATATTGAATTTGTTGTATATTTGAGGGAGAGAAGCTTGCTTTACGTGGTATAGGTTCACAACAGCATATACCATCCTTTTTCTGACCTGCCTTGCATGCAGAAATGCTTACCTTACTTGGCATTAGATTCAAAATATTTTTTAAAAAGTTTAATTGGGGGGAACCACTTAGATCCTCAAATTGAGATTTTTTCTTTTGGTGTAATTTTGCCATTTCAGTACATTATACACTGGCAGGAAGAATACTCTTACCGATGAGATCTGAAATCTAATTTAGTATGAGGTGAAGTTGTAATGATAAGGTGATGCTAAATCTCTGACTATTTAAATACATTCTCCTTTCTAAATTGATTTAAAAACCAGATGCATTCTATATTTTTTTAAATGTAGATAATCTACAGTGATATAACTGATCAGCTAGTTTGATTGGTAGAGCATTAAACAGTCTCAGGGATGTGGATTCGGTAGGGTGGGTTGGTAGATGAAAATATTGGACGTGGAATTAGGAAGGTTGGATTCAGGCTCCTTCCTGTTCTCCGTCAGGCTCCTTCCTGTTCTCCAGTCCTTTCAACATAGTCCAAGGAATAGAAGGGGAGAATAAGAGTATTAGTAGAATAAGAGAATAAGAATATTAATAGAAGGGGTCAAAGTGGTTAAATATTCTAATTTCGTAAACTGACTTCTTTCCTTCCTTCTTTTCTTCTTTCCTTCCTTTCTTCCTTCCTTTTTTGGAGGCAGTTGGGGTTAAGTAACTTGCCCAGGGTCTCATAGCTAGTAAGTGTCTGAGGCTGGATTTAAACTCAAGTCCTCTTGATTATAGGGCCAGTGCTCTATCCCTTCTGCCATCTAGATGCCCCAGTAAACTGACATTATTTTTTCAATTGTTTTGCCTTTTGTTTTTATTTAAAATTAATTTCCAAATACATTCCCATCTCCTTCCCTTACAAGAACAATTTTGAAAAGAAGAAGGGAAGAAAAGGTTTAGCAAAGCCAAACAATACATTGGCATTATCTGAGTGTGTGTGACATTCCATCCCTGTAATTTCCCCCCCCCATCTCTACAATAAAAGCTGATGCTTTTTCTCCACCATGGAGGTGGGGGATGGGGACAAGCCTAGTCATTATAATAGTTAATTGCCATAAGTTTGCTTTTGTTCTCCCGTTTATGTTGTTGAAGTTGTGCCTGGTTGTTTCTGTTGTTTTGGTTGGTCTTACTTGAGAGATAACAACGACAGTTAGCATTTATGTAGCACTTCAGGGTTTGAAAAGCTCTTTCCAAATGTCATCTCATCTGACCCTCACAACAACCCTGGAAGGTAGGTGCTACCATTATCCCTACTTTGCAAATGAGGAAACTGAGGCAGACAGATTGAGTGACCTGCCCAGAGTTACACAGCTAGTAAGTGTCTGAGGCAGCATTCAAACTTGGGTCTCTCTCACTTCGAGTACAGCCCCTGTTATCTGCTGTGACACCTAGCTGCACATACACGATTCTAAATCATAAGCAGTCTGCCGCAATGACGAGGGTGGAAAATAAATAACAGATAAATCAGAGCTCTTTATGGACGTGACCCTGAGTAGGAGTAATAACAATAGGAAGGTGTGTATATATGTGTATAAAGCAGTGTGTATGTATGTGTGTGTGTGTGTGTGTGTGTGTATAGCTATGTGTGTACTGCTCTGTACATATGTACATATACATATGATACACACACGCACTAAAAATAGTGTGCTGTCGCTAAATATGTAGTATTCAATGTTAAATGCTGCATGTTTGTATTAATGTATTTAATTAATATATAATAAATGTATGTTATCACTATTTTCACTCCTACTGCTGTGTATAGTATTTTCCTGTTACAAAGCACTCTTCCTCCCAGAAAGCAAAGTTGTACTGCCTTTGACTTTTGTCTCCCCTGTGTGTTCATTCGTTAACGTGTGACAAGTCATCATTAGCGAGCGACACCAACCGAGTTTCCCCTTCTTGCTGTTGTAGCCCCTGGCAGTTCACCTGAATGGGAAGCAGTGCAGTCGGAGGCCAGGCACCTGCTAATAAACACTTTTGGGGTCTACAAATGCTCCGTCCAGCTTCAGAGTTACCGGCGAGAAGCCAGCAAAACCTGCGGAGCTTGCCGTGGTGCCAGTGCCTAATCCCGAGCTTGGGGAACGACAGCCTTATTTATTGTGCAGACACCAGCGAGCGGCAATAAGTGACCATACGAGTGAGCGACGGGGTCCCTGGCGTCAAGAAGGAACACGGTCCACGAGGACTCTGTTGTAGGCCCTCAGAAGAGCCTCGACAACATGTAGCCTGGGAGAGGTCAACATTAAATGATCGTTTTGCTATGATTTTCAGACAGGGATGTTACCAAAATATTGTTTACAGAATGGGATGCGACTCTGCAGATACCTCGTAGACAAAGCTTAAAGATTCCCTTTGTTAATCGTATCACGTAATGTAACACATCAGCTTTCAAGGAAGAACCCAGAATTCATACTTGCCTTTTTTTTAAAAAGGAAACATTTAAAAGCCAAATTACTTTGAGCATCAAAAAAAAAAGGTTAAAGCACTAAATTTTTAAAACTATGTTGGCTCAGTGGAATAAACTGGGGTCATTTAAAAAAATTCTCAAGGTTTTAGGAAGTTCTGGAAAATATCAAAAAATAGAAGCAAATGCATATTCCCAAGTGTTTCATAAATGTTTTCCTTTATAAATAATTCAGGATGTCATTGGTCTGTTTCTGCCGTATAACTTTATTTTTTCCAGATGTTAGAAACAGGGCTTTGAATCTGAAGGCATACTACGTTTTAATATTTGTCTTCTTCCAAACACACTTTAACATGATTTGTTGGTTGTTGTCATTAAAGTCATTTAGGAAATATTTCCAGTGTTATTCTGCATTAGGGAAATTATCATTTCAAACTGTGATCATTTAATTTGAAATAAGGGACAGGAGGATGGTGCTGAAAGTTTCCAGAACCTATACTAACTAAACTGTTTTGTTAATAAGTGAGTTAAATTTGGCTGAAGGTAAAAACTGAACCAGTAATTTGCTGCTCCTTTTAATTCTATATATCCCATTTGTTTGGCTCCTACCTGCTTTAACATGGGGTAAGTATATAACCTGTCTAATGGCCCTTTCAAAATAAAACTCTGTGAGGCTCAGCTTTGCGCACTCACTCTCCCTACCTACACAGATTAATAACCACATTCTCCCAGAATTTGGGTCTGTCTTTGTAATATAGGCCAATATGTTAAAAAATCAGGGATTCGCCGTGGTAGACAGATGCCTCGAAGTTGTGTTTTGGTATTGCCACAGCAAAAATGCCAAAATGAGCACTGTGGGAAAAGTAACTTTGTGAAGATCACAGCCAAGTTGCATGTTTTTGGAAGCACTCAGGTGATAGCTTTGAGTCAGGAAAAAGGGAAACATTGAAGAGTACGAAACTGAAGGCAAGTCTGATTATGGCTTGGGTTTAATCAGAAATTGAAGGTGAGGGTTGTTGTTTGTTCAGAATTCACAAGGAGTGTTGCTTGTCTGTGACACATGTTGAGAATTGGGTCAGGGAGGCAATCACAGATGACCAAACTTCTAGCTACTGGAAGTAAATAGGAAAGGAAATAAGCATTTATCCAGCACCTGGCTATGTTCCAGGTACTGGGCTAAGCACCTGGCCTTATGAGAATCTATATTAGCAATCCAGTTGCGTTTGGGAGAAGTACTATACTTTCAGAGTACCAGGTTCTAAGGTAATCAGCTCCTAGTGAAGTTAGATCTCAAATCCTAGCCATAGAGATTCCCTCTAGGAACAAAGATTAGAAAACTCTTATCTTAACTAGAATATTACTTTAAACAAACTCCAAATTCCAAAGTATGGTTTAGGGACAGATGGTTTCAGAATGTGAGGCCTGTCAATAGAAATTAACTATATATTAATATATTTATATTAAACTGTACAAATTGGGGGTATTCCTGCATATGGAAGGCAGATAGTGGTAACCAGAGAGTATTTGAACAAACAGTTGTACAGTGGGAGCTATATGTACCATGCTGCATGGCGTTTCCACCTGCATCGAGTGACTTTTTTTGATAAAATGTGGTGCCATCCTCTGTCCCACCTATGTTGCTCGTACTGCTTTATCTTAGTCTTCCTTTTAACCTCCTTAGGAGTATCTGGCTTTTCATAGTGGATTTGCTCTTGAAAGAGGTGGGGATAAGGACTTACAAAATACATTGAGGAGTCTTGCTGTATGAAAGAATCCTATTGTGAATTTTTTGTGAAATTGGAAATCACCTACTTTGTTTTGTAAATCTGAATCTTGATAACTGCCTAAATCAGAGCACACTTAAAATTCTTCTGTAACCCTTTTTTGCATACAAGGACTGTGCATTTTATTAATTCATATCATAGGATGGTGACTTTCTGTCACATAGAAAAGCTTGCTTTGAGAAGGTAAATTAACGAGTTTAAGTGAGGTATGCAACGACAACCCACATCAGGTAGAATATTGGGGAATTTATTTGAATGGGGCAACGTCTGGATATGCCCTCCTAAGCTAGATAACGTGCAGTTCAGATTGGCCTTGCAGTGCAGTGGCTAAGTTGGATCCACACAGTGTTGAGAAGATTGTCTTATTTTGATCTAATTTATTGCATATCCTGGGGTTTGGGACTGTCTTTGAACATAATTTCTATAGTTCAGAACAGGCCTAATGTTTTGAGTAAGGTATTTTTTGTTTCATGATGCTTTTTATTAGTATGTAAGATGGAGGTGTGTCTAAAGTATAGTGGGGCATGTTTCTGAGGGCTTTGAAGGACAGGGCTGCTGTAATTTCCTTTTTTCTTTTTTTTTTTTTTTTGCTAGGCGATGGGGTTAAGTGACTTGCCCAGGTCACACAGCTAGTAAGTGTTATGTGTCTGAGGTCATATTTGAACTCAGGTTCTCCTGAATCTAGAGCCAGTGCTCTATCCACTGCGCCGCCTAGCTGCCCATGCTGTAATTTCTGTAAGTGTTCCTGTGACTGTCATGCTATAGTCATCATTTTCGTGTAAAACTACATGTTTTTGAAGAACTGTGTATTGTATTGTTTCTTTGCCCCATCGCTGAATTGTCTTTTCCATTCTTCTCACTTTTCTTTGGATCTTTGGACCTTCTGAAGGCTGCCATCTTCAGAAGGACAGTTTTCTAGTATCACTTTTTTGCTTCTCAACATCTCCTTTCCTGCAGGGCTCTTGCCTGGCCCCTTCAAGCCCCTCAAGTCTAAAAGTCTTTCGTGGATTTTTTTCGCAGGATAGACTTGGACACAGTCTATGCACTTTCTGAGACACCGGAGATTGAGAGAAGATATTTCCTCCCCATTGTGTCTTTCACAGCCTTAACGCCAGTATTAGAAATGGGTTTCCAGGTTAGGTGGAATTCTGGCCCAGTATTTCCAGTGCACATTACCTGTGAGTAGTGGACTTCCTCAGTAGTGCAGGTGTGCTTGGATTGACGGATTGTGAAGAGTTATTTTTAGAAAACAAATAACCAATGTGTGTTTATTTGGAAGACAGAACTGGTTCACTATTAAATTCAGTTATGAATATATGTGTGTGTGTATATATATATAATTTTCCAAATTCCCAATCACCCCAATATATTTATTGGTTCTTCTAAATTACCTAGAAAAGTCCTCATTCTGACATGTTCTAGTGACATGACTATAGGCAAATCACTTGAACTTTCACTGCCCCCAGGCAGCTTTCTAAAACTCTAAACTACCGCTGAGTTACATAAATGGAAGGCATTTTCCATGACAGGAGCGGAGCTCTCTAGTCTGATAAAAATCGTGGGTATCTATCAAAAAATTGCTGTGGAGCAAGTCCTTCCTAACAAGTTTGGAACCCTTGATGTGTTGTAGACAATTAAAATGTTGAACTCAAGCATATTTCTGACATGCAGGACAATCAGACCAAGGGATGAATGCCATTTATTTAATTGCACTTGACCACCAGGAGAGCCAAATGAGCGTCAGTCATAACTGGACAGAGGCATCTCCTCAGATGCAATATGGGTAGCTGTGGGCTTCATTGTGGGGCCTGGTTTTTTTATCTTTTTTTTTTTTAATGGGGCAGTAGCATTAAGTGACTTGCCCAGGATCACACAGCTAGTGAGTGTTATGTGTCTGAGGCTGGGTTTGAACTCAGGTCCTCATGACTCCAAGGCTGGAGCTCTATCCACTGTGCCACCTAGCTGCCCCAGGGCCTTGTTTTTTTGATTAATTTGTTCGAGCAGTTGAAGAAAGGAGTGAAGTCTGTGGTTTTCAAATTATATATTCAGCCCACTGTATCTAGACAAAATACACCTCATTCCTATTGCAAGTCTGCCTCGTGACTCCAGTCGGCCACTGCTTCTAATCTCTTACAGACTCCATTCTGTAAATATTTGCTGTTCTTTTCAAGAACTTGACATGGGAGCTAGAGAAAGAGTTATGGGGATCTCTTTGTTTGAGGTCCTGCATCTCAGGTACATGCAGGCCCTCAACCTAGCCAGTCTGAATTAGATGGCTTTATCAAGCCAGGTTTTCCACATACTGTTGCAGATGTACAATTTAAGACCAATAAATTTGAGTTGTCTAATTTTGACAAGATTGGTAATTACTCAAGAGAATTTCTCAGTTTCTGTGATAGTGTTAAGTTAGAATAGTTTTAGTATGTTTTGAATTTATTCCAACACAAAATTAGAATGTTCATGTGAGGACCTTTGCAGGCAAGAGAGGTATAGTGGCTTTGGGGAGCTTAGGCTTCGTTTAAAAGTATATCATTAAAATAAGCCATATCACAGTTTGACGGAACTGTGTTTATACTTTTCCATAGACCCTTTCAGAAACTGAGTATTTTTGCACAATAATCAGTTATCGAAGGATTTATTTGAAACGGGTTTGTCCATGTAATTGGAGATCAAAGTATGGTATATATTTACTGTATTTGAAGTTTTTAAACTGTAATTTCCTAAACATTTATTAAAATAAAACACATGGCAAAACAGTTTTTCCTTTATTAAACAGAACCTACAATCTCTTATAAAACTCAAATTCGCTTGTCTTTATTCATTACACATTCTCATTCACTTTAGACTTGATCATTTATTGGCAACCTTAAGGCACATTCTTTTTTCTTTTTCTTTTTTTTTTTTTAATCTGTTAACAGAATAACGTATCTTTAGTAACCTCTATATACTTCAGTGCCTTTGTAGGCATTTAGGAAGTATGAGGTAGAAGGCTGGCCCACTTCAGCTCCAATTCCAAAAGATCCCTGATTATGGATTTTATAGCATAGGAATTGTTTATTCCTCTATGCATCCAGAAACCCAG